AAGTACCATATTTTCAATGACGCATTATGGGGACTACTCATAAATATTTCCCATTTTTATTTGTCTCAACAAAATTATGTTATATTTATTACGTTATCTAAATATCACTGTTAATTTGAAATGAAATTGAAATAAATATACAGGGTGTCTCAGAACAATCTACGAAACTCTCATAAAAACGTAGAGCGGCTCGAGGTGAGCATAAAAGTCCTATACCGTTTTACGATATTCGTAATAATAACCGAAAAATTAATTGCGAAAAATTAAGAAAAAGTGTGTGCCGAATGGTAGAGGACGGAGCGCTCGAGAGTCAAAGCGCGGCTCAGTAATATAGCGCGCGGATGTCGACGCATGGTGATTGGAAGAATAACGCACCACTGCCTATGCTTATATCATTGCGCTTCTACGTCTTGCCGCAGCGCGCCGAGGCGAAATGTAGGAGCGCAACGATATAAGCATAGGTATAGTGGTGCACTGTTCTTAATTCTCCATCAATAAAAACCAGAAATATTATCTTCTGTCAAAACGCGTTTAGTTATGTTATTGTCATGTTAATTCAATCAATTTTGTTGCCATTTCTCCGTATGTTATCCGCGCTTAGCGCAACACTAAGAATCAAAGCATGATGATACATTTCGGAGGAACGCTTCCGCGTTCTTCTTGAATTAATTCTTATGATAGTGTTTCCCCTCCGATTCTCCCCGAGAGAACGGCAAGGGAATCGACGTAATTTCATCTTTCAGTGCTCGGTGGAGCGAGCGTTATCGAAGATGACTCGACTTTGGTGAGCAAAATCGCGGGTCACCGATCGTTACGTTGCGAGCGGTCAGCTATTCCCAATCACTTCTGAGTTTTATTGGACGACGAGCTGAATTATAAACGAAGATCCGAGCCCCTATGGTTCTTGCGACTTCGCCCCGGAGGTTCCTGACCTTCGTACACTACTCGTTCGCGCGGCAATCGCGAACGAGCGTAACCTTAAAGGGCATCCGCGTAGTTAGATCGAGATTGGCATTATCATCGTGAGTTGCGGATCGTTATACGTGACTTCTGGGGCAAACTTCGCTTTTAATTTTTCGTCGGAAATTGAGGTAATTTTTTTAGTTTATCGGTTTCGGCAATGAATGATTTGCTTTCTATGTGATTATATGTATTCTTACACTGAGAGAAAAATATTTGAAAAGTAAAAAATATTTATTCGCGATGGGTACTAATAACATATTTACTTGAATCCAAATTTTTTTAGTTTAAGTACGTTAAACTACCCATGTACGATTTTAGAATTGAGCCGGTGTCGCACCAAAGTCGGCCGCCAATTTCCGACACTCGGCGCGACGCTGGCTATAACGTAACGTCGACGTCGGCGCAATGTTCAAATAATAAGAAGGGCCCAACGCTAACGTCAGTATCGATCCAACACTGACCACCGACATCGGCCCAATGTTGGCATGCCAGTATTCTGCCGACACTGCCCAGACAGTACAAAAAAATGTTTATATACATTTTCTTTTTTTTCTGAATTTTTCTTAAATTTTTCACTTTATTGTTTTACACGCTACTTAATTCAATTTAAATTGTACTTCGAAATTTTGCTTATCATTGCTGAGATTTGAACCTAGGATCTTTGATTCAAATCTCTTGGTAGAACCTAGGTTCTTAAGCCGTTTACCTTACCTATTACACCACTGTTACTTTAACTGAAAAACGTTTTGTATTGTACATATGGTATATCCATATACGAAAACAAATGATTTATTTAAAAGAAGAGAATAGATGTCTTTAAATATAAAAAAAATGTTTGAAAAGTATATAACAAATATATTTAAAAAAATATTTACTTATTTTAAAAGTGGGTACAAATACAAATAAATTATTTTATAAATTTAAATAAATTATTTTCTGATAATAAAAAGAACTTTAATTTTAAACACAAAAAGATACTTTTAATTAGAAAATAATTAAATTTATTAGAAAATAATTTATTTAGATTTATAAAATGATTTACTTGTATTTTACTTACTTTTAAAACAAACCAATATTTATTTAAACACAGTTTTTACATTTTAAAAAACAAATTTTATTCTTGTAAATACATCATTTGCTTATTCTTATATATAGATATTTTAAGTCAAAGAAATAATTTTTTATCTAGAAATTTATAATTTTATAGATTACTCATTTTACAAATTTAAAAAATATTACTTTATATTTATTACATATTTTGTAAAAATTTAACAAATATTTTTTCAGGTAAGAAATTATATTTAACAAAATATATTTCTTTAATTTAAAGAATGTTTTTTCAGTGTACATTACCAATAGTCTAATAAGGTAAAAATACCATATAGCCGGACATGTATCTAAACCGAGATATTGTTATTATTTTGGTCTTTACATACAAATATTTTAGTTTTAATATATATATGGATTACATCTTCAATAAACATAGATGTTCCATAGATTTATAGATCTATTATGTACGTTTATTAGATATTTTGTTCTATGTGGAAAGACAATATCGCGGACAAAAGTTGGCAAGCTTGGCTTGGACCGGCGTCGCGCCTCGATCAGATAGTGAGTGTTGGCTATTGTGGTCCTGCCGATGTTGAGCCATGACTTGGCATCGGACAAAGTCGGCAGGCCTGGCTTGGGCCGGCATCGCGCCGCCATTGGATAGTGAGTGTCGGCTGCTATGGTTCTGCCGACGTCGAGCCGTGACTCGACATCGGACAAGAGTCGGCAAGCCTAGTTTGGACTGGCGTCGCGCCGCGATCGAAAAAATGACAGTCGGCTTGCCATGATGTCGCCAAGGTCAGCTTATAAGTTGACATCGGGAGAGAGTTGGCAAATCGTACATGAGTATCATTTTTTCATGAAAAGCTATTGCTTTAGGAAAATGTATATTTTCTGATTTAAAAAGCATTTTTTCAGTGTAAAAATATGTATATTAGTATAAATAAATAGATGGTAGTTATGTGTTAGTAGTCACCAAATAAACATTTTATTTTTTAGATATTTTTTCTCTTTGTATGATCTCTCTCTCTCTCTCTCTCTCTCTCTCTCTCTCTCTCTATCTATCTGTCTCTCTCTCTTTCTCTCTTACATAGATATTTTTATGTGTAAAAATATTAAAGTGAAATAATAAAAAATTGAATACGAGATATTTCACGCCTTATTCTAAAATGTATGTATATGTATGTGTATATATAATTTTTTTATATAAAATATATTATTTTAAAAATATATACGCCATCTTTCATGTTCTCTAAATTTCTTGGAGTGAAAATTTCACTCGAAAAATAGAGTGACAATCAAATCACTCAAATTAAAGTAATTTTTCGTTCTTAAAATGAATTCATTCACTCTGTGTCGTGGAGTGTATTTTCCCTCGACAAATGAAGTGACAGCCGTCATTCGAGTTAAAGTGACTTTTCACTTGTGTGCAGTGAATTTTCGCTGAAGAATGAATGATTCAGAAATTTATACATCATTATAATAATCATTCCCATCAGTTAATAGCAGTGGCTCAGTAAGTACGAAATAGGATTCAAAAGCCAGAGATCTCAGATTCAAGTCTCATATGTGGTTAGCGAATTTTTTCAAACATATTATAAATAGAATTAATTAAATGGCACACCATTAAAGATATTACAAACATGATAGAACTAGAGATTTTCCTTTTTACCTAATCGTAAAAATTCACTCTACTTAGAGTGAAATATTCACTCTAAGTAGAGTGAATTTTTACGATTAGGTAAAAAGGAAAATCTCTAGTTCTATCATGTTTGTAATCTATCTATCTAGTTGGAGTGAAATATTCACTCTAAGTAGAGTGAATTTTTACGATTAGGTAAAAAGGAAAATCTCTAGTTCTATCATGTTTGTAATCTATCTATCTAGTTGGAGTGAAATATTCACTCTTATGAAAAGTGAAATGTCACTCCATTCAGAGTGACAGTATTTTCACTGTCGCTTGGAATGAAAATCCGTTCCTTTTGAGTGAAACTTCACTCCAAGAAATTTAGAGAGTAAAGTATTCAATTAACGAATTTTTTAGTAAAAATTAGAACAAAACATAGGCGTGCGTAGCGCGCGCCATTTTATCTGAATTATTTATTAATATTATACGCACACAGCACAAAACTGAACAAATACGTTTCACAGGTGTTTGCAAAACATTTCATAGTTTGACAGTTGCAAACAGCACGAACTAGTCGCAACGGATCGAGTCAATCGAGACAGCCAATCAACATTGTGGAAAAGAGGTAACACGCACTTTTTATTAAGGCGTTTACTGTAGAATTTTGTAATCGAGCTTATTGATATTCTATCTTAATTTATTATTCTTTCATCTCATGTGTGTTATTTATATCTCAAGAACACTGAAATCTATTATTAAAAATTCAATATATTCCTTAGTAAGAGAAACTAATAGTCTATTCTTGTGCATTATTAAAAACATGATAAAATTAAAAGCAATTTATATCTAAAATAAAGCTATAAAATATTCCCTCTGCACTGAAAAAGTTTATAAAGTTTATAAGTTTATAAGTGTATAAAAAGCTTATAAAGTTTACAAAGTTTATAAGTGAAAAAAATAAGTTTACTTCTGTGACTTTATTTTCCACGAATAAATTTTCAAGTATTTTTTCTCAGTACACTGAGAGAAAAAATCTAAAAAATAAAAAAAATTATTCTGTGAATACTACTAACATATTTATTTGTACTAATATATATATATATTTTTACATTGAAAATTTATTTTATTTTCAAATAAAAAATACACTTCTTAAAATCGTTGCTTTTCATCAAAATAATTGTTTATTCTATTTAAACAAAAGAAATTAGATTTAAGAGATCTAAATATACTATATTAGCATCCATCAAATATTTTTTTATTTTTTAAATATTTTTCTTTCAACGTACATGGTTTCATGATTGCCTTCGCATAGAACGCAAGTTCGTTCAACGGCATTCAATGTTAAAACCAAGACACTCACCCTTGGCGGAGTCTTCCTGACACTGCCCGCTCGACCTTGAGACCTGCGAAGACACCTTGGCGTCGTTGGAGGCGGTCTTGCCGTCACTCGAGCTTTGACTTTTCAATTCGACGCAGTTCTCCGGACTGGGCGATCGATCCCTCGATATGGGTGGCGGCGAGGGGGTGCATCCTAGCAGCTTCCGCACTGACAGCTTCAGCTCGGGCGTCTTCAGGGGTGGTAGGCTGTCCGCGGTGTCCCTCATGTCCTTGATCTTGGCCGTGACGGAGAGATCCTCCGGTTGCAGACGGCTCTCCGGTGACGGCGGTGGATCTTCGACGCTTGCTTCGATACCAGCAGCTGTTTCTTGCGCGCCTTCGCGCACCAATGAGCCTTCATCTAAACAGGATTTTGCTTTGTATTCTCTGACGCGCGGAGGACCGTCGTCGAGAACGCGAGATACACGCGCACGCGTTAAGTCCGCGGTGGAGGCATCAACGATCAGGTTGACTCGCAAGTGAATTATTATCTTCATCAATAGGAAGATTAATCAGAACGTTTAACCCTTCATAAGGGTAGGAGGGCTAAACGAACCCTAATCAATCAAGGGGAGATATTCATAGCTAGTTCTTATGTCTAAGATTGTCTTAGTACATTTTCTGACATTATACAGACCGTTTTTTGGCTATAGAGTATCTGAAGATGAACTTAAGACGATCTTAAACATAGGTCTAGGATAGTCAGCTCGAAAAACATATCGAAAAGCATACCGTTTAATCGTTTTTTAACTTTTCTTAATAAGTAAGATGGTCACATATAACATTCTACATATCAATTGTACATATACAACCCTCGGAATTCGTAGAAAGGATTTATTATCAATAGGCGACTTCCGCTGGACGTGCAAATTTAGGTCGTTTATTTACAGCTCCTGTTTTTATGTAATCAAGAGCTAAAAAATTAAATATTCTCTGAACTCATTCATAAATTCGTATTTATTAATAGCCAAAATAAGCTAAGAAAGAGAGAGAGAATCGTGAAAATCACATTTATTAATAGCTAAAATATATGTATATATTACCAGCTCCCGGTGCGTAAATTTAGGTCGCTTATTTACAGTCCCCATTTTTACAAATGATAATAATTTAAGAACTAAAAATTTTAATATTCTTCGAACTCAGTCATAAATATCGTATATTCATTAATAACAAAAATGAGCCAAGAAAGAGCTCAATCATAAAAACACAATCATTAATAACTCAAATATGTTGCACTTATATACAGGTCAGTACGACGGGTTGCTTTATCGGCAGGCGCGCTTTCTTTCTTATGAAGTTTACGTTCAATTGCGCGTATGACAATTTCGCCAAGGTTTACTATGACACAGTACGCGCGCCTGCCGACGAGGCAACCCGTTGTACTGACCTGTATGTAAGTGCAACACCCTGTACATATAGAATGTCCGATAACTCACGGAGGAGCTGTGGTATACAGGTATATTAAATCAAACTGAACAAAAACTTTCTCTACCATTTTGCGTATATCCACGTAAAATTTTGAGTTATTAATCAAAGAAAATTCATAAAGGGTCACACGACATAAGATAGATGAGCTGTGCTCATCATTCATATATTAGATCAAATTGAACAAAAAAATTCTCTACCACTCTTCGAATAACCACGTAAATATTTAGTTATTAATTAAAGAAGATTAGTGCATTATTGTACACAATTGTACGCCAATTTTCTTTAATTAATAACTAAACATGCACGTGGTTATTTGGAAAATAGTAGAGGATTTTTTTATTCAGTTTAATCTAATATATAAACATACAGCGGCAGACGTCACCGTCACATCTCATCTATAGTATAGTATAGTACGTGATCATTCACGAATCTTCTTTGAGTAATAACTTAAAATTTTACTCTAGAATATTGCTCGCAAAATGATAGAAGAATTTTTTGTTCAATTTACTAATACCAATTGACCTAATTTACTTGTACACCGCGACTCTTCTATGAGTACAGACACCTTGTATATTGCTGATTAATTCTACTAAACGCCAAATTAATCGCTTATTCTGCTTTTAAATGGTGTTAAGAACTACAAATTTAAATATTCTCTCAATTCAATCACAAATACAGCACATACGTTGATAGTCTAAAAAAGATTTAATTATAAAAACCACACATTCGTTAATAGCTAAAAAAAAATATATATATATATATATATATATATATATATATTGCTAATTTCTATAATCACATCTTATTAACTTATCGTAATTATCCAATTAATTTTAATTCTTCTTTCTTTTAATTCTTATTTCTTCTCGCTATAAATCGCGTATTAGAGTAACGATGTGAAGTGATGAGAGAAAGGTAAGCAAACAATTTTACATCACTGACATTTTCTCGATTCATACATACGCGACTGAGCGCGAATTCGACCAGTGAATAAACGATGCATGTATACGATCGACAGTGAAACGGTGTGAACACTTTTTTTAGTGAAGTTAGAACCTCATTTAGTCACATTTAAGGATCATTATTTACGAACTTGCGCGAATAATCGGTTATGACAGGAGCCGAAGTGACGATGCGCAGTATGAAAACAAATTTTATCAAATCAACGTAAAAACGTGTCAATATATTCGAGAATGTCCCAGGTTGAAGCGTTGCAACAGAAGTATTTGAAAAATTAAAGGAGCTTGTACTTTAAATATAAAAGATATCTGATAGCATAACTGAAACTGCAAATCCAGAAAAAATACAAGTATGAAAGTAATGCGAGCCTTCTCTCTCTCTCTCTCTCTCTCTCTCTCTCTCTCTCTCTCTCTCTCTTTCTCTCTCTCTCATACGCGCACACGCATTATATTGAAATATGACTTTTCAATTTCTCGAGTTGCACAACTATAGAACAAGAATTTAACTAAAAATACTCTCGGATGTACTAACATGTTTTCACGATACTTTAATAAAATTTATTTTCATATCACATATTTCAGTTCCTGTCACAACCGATTACCACGCACGTTCGTGAATAATGGACGTTCAACAGAGAAAGATACTTTGCAACTGTTGTGAAACTTGCGAATCTGATTGGTATCTACTCTTAACTAAAATTAAAAGTATATACTGATCAGATTCACGGATTTTACAATAGTTTCAAAACAGCTTTCTTTGCTGAACGCAGCCTATGATTCCCAAAGATGATAACTAGATGGGCTATTAAGTTCACTAAAAAATGTGTTTAAAACGTTTCGTTCTCGACTATATGTATAATCTAACGTAACTTTCACAATGGATTTCTCCTGGACGTCGCGCATTCACCATGATTGCCTGATATGATATTGATTATATAGGCAAGATCAACACATGCGAATCAACCTAACACGTTTAACAAATTTCTTCTCGAATCAACACTTTCCGCATGCCCAACGACGCGATCTGCGCGAGCAATAGCCGGCACATTTTGCATTGATCCGCTTTCAACGCGATCGATTTTTAGCCAACTCTCTGCCGCACAATAACACATAACGTCCTCCACGTTACCGCGGCGAAGAAAATCGCGCACACGTGGTTCGCGATGTATCGGGAAGAATCGCGCACATACGCCGATCAGCGTCGTCCGCGGCGTCGCCGATGAGATGCGCGACACTGAGGGTGATCCTGCCAACGGCGGTCCTGCAGCCGGCGGCCTCGACGCCGCTGCCGGCGCCGCCGCCGCCGCCGCCGCCGCTCGCCACAGTCGTAGCCGCGTTATTGTCGAAGCTCTTGGAGACGAACTGGGCGAGCTGCTCCATCCTCACCGGAGGAACTCTCGCGCGCGACGTCGCGCGCGACCTCGGCACCGACGGCTGCTCGCCGTCCAGAACCCACCGTCGTCGGGGGACGCACGTAGGTGGTCACGTCGTCCTCGCCGTGCCGACATCGGCGTCGCGACGCCACGCGTCGCCTGAGGACGCCATTCGGCCGCCAGCCAATGCGCGGCCAGGTGGGCGTGCTGATATCCGCCTATTCGACCCCGCTTGGCGCCCGTCTCCCTTCACTGTGCCCTTTCGTTACTTCCTCCCTCCTTCGCGTTTCTCGCGGAACCGCGGTGGCCCGGGTCCCCTCGATCCCTTTCCGGAGGCAGGCGTTCTCTCCGCATCCCCAAACCGACGCTCATTAGCATTCGCACCCGTTTTCCGCCCGCTCGCGGAAACGCTCGCGGAAACTACCCCTCGCCGCTGGCCAGCCCGGTGTCGGGCTAGATAGGGTGGTTTCGTCGACCATCCCACCCATCTGCTTTCTCTCTCTCTCCCTCTTTCACGCTCTCTCTCTTTCTCTGCCTCTTGCTCGCTCCTCCTGACCAACCTCCTCGTTTACTCCCGTTTCCCCCCGCGTTTCCGTGGCGTGCGGCCTCCAGGGCTGCTGTTTACCTGGAGACGGACAGAGAGAGGCCGCGGTAATTAATCCGACGCTCTCCGCGGTCGACTCTTTTCCTTTTTTGCCCAGCCTCGTTATCGGTCATCGGATCGTCGACTCCACCGGATAGACCTCTAGCAAAAAGAAAGAGAAAGTCAGTTCTTACAAATGATACCGGGAACTTCATCGACATGTCGTCTCCTTTTCAATGCATTACATATGATATGCGATACGAATCGTGTATATTCGAAGATCGATTGTTAATTCGCAGTTTTGAAATTGTTTCGTAATTATTTCAGCCTCTTAATTTTTCCTTTTGTTCTCTGTTATGTTCTTACATTGTTACAAATTTTGTAAATAATTTGTTAAAATCGCAAGAACTTCGTTGCACTGAGACAGAGCATGTCTAAAAAATAGAAAATATTTATTCAGTTGGTAGGAGAGACCGGAGCTATAAGATGTCCTATATTTCAGAATTTACAACTTTTCAGATAACTAATTATTCTGACTGTTTATACAAACATAATACAGGCAGCCTTTTTTATGTATTAGTGCCCGTCACGATCCTGTTAACTGTATATTTTATTTTATAATAACCAAAATACAAATATGCAGCAACATGATCATTTTGTCCTGGTACCGGGTTCAGTTGCCATGTAGTGCAAGGGGGAGGACTAAAAAAAGAAGGCCACATATATAAAATGTATATTCTGATCAGTGGTTCCGAGGTGTCTGTGAGAGATCCAATCCTTTTATCGACCTTTAATTACACTAAGCAACAAATTGCAAATTCTATCGACTACATAAGTGCGAATAGTCATTTACGATGTATTTTTGCCTACTGAATACAAATATTTTGTCCAAATTTAGCTAGCACGTCAGGATTTTGAGAAAAATAATGCCAAATTATATTTTTATTGCAAAAATTATATTTTTGAAAGTTTTCGTGAGATTATAGCCTTAACCAAATTTTGCTACATTTTGCAAATTTTGCATAACATTTTCATAATTTTGAAACAAAGAAAAAAAATATGTATCAAGTGCGACTCTATAATACTAAATAATTATATTATAATATTGGTAAATAAAATTTTTTACATGGACCACACACACACACACACATTCTTGAAAAAAGATAATTCTACAAAGACACTCTCCTTTATACTATAAAATGAGTAACGATTTCCTTTTTATATCACTTTTACATCGCGAGAAAGATTTACAGTTTTCTTTGTCACATCATGATCGATTAGTATTGTAGTCGCACTTGATACATATTCATTTCATTGTTTCAAAATTATAAAGTTGTAGCAAAATTTGATTAACGGATTCGTGTTTAGAGGTCAAAAGTATGTCGAAAGTGATTAGTTCACACTAATTGGAGAAAAATTGTACGGAACAATGATACTGATGCTGCACAGTGATATGCGCAGTGTTTCTAATTTTGAATCTAGTATTTCTAATTTTAGCTCAGAAACGAATAATCATGCCGAAACGAAACCGCATTTTATAGCTAAAAGTTAATAGTTTTGCGTGGTATTAATGAAATTTAGGAAAAAAATTTGCTGTCGGTACCACAACCTCACGAAAACCCTAGTAAATGCCGTTTTTTGCAACTTTGACGTTATTTTTCTTAAAATTCTGACGTGTTAGTCAAATTTAGACAACGAATTCGTATTCAGCAGACAAAAAATACATCGAAAATGACTATTCACACTCATATAGTTAACAAAATTTGCGATTGGTGTCTAGTGTTATAGTAATTTGTTGCCTAGTGTTATTGTCAATTTTATCTTGTTTGCCCATATGTTCGATTTTAATCATTTTGGAAGTAAAAATTGCTTTTATTATTCGAAACAGTATATCATTATTTGCAAAAAACTTTATTATAGCTAGTAACACGTTGCTTAACTTTATGCACGATGGAGAATATTAATATAAAATTTCGAGAAGCTCGAACATTTACTTTGCTCCCTACTAAATCAGTTTTTTCTATTCTTTAATTATATGTGTATAATATTATCCTGATTTTAATAAAACTCAAGGACAAGTATCTATATTCTAAAATTACTATTTCGCGATTTTGTCCCTTATAGAAATATCATACTAAGAATCATTGATAATTACTTATTATCCAGTATTTTTAATACTGAAAATAAGTAATTATCAATGATTCTTAGTATGATATTTCTATAAGGGATGTCCACTATTCCTCTCAAGATAAATACACTCAAGATAAAGCACGTAAGCAACATACCCCTGGAGCCATCTAAACCCGTTTTATCTGTTTTACAAATAACATACTTACTTAAATCTAAATTCTTTTATATAAATAGGATAAATAATTGCTATGATGAAAAAAGGTAAGATTTCAAGAAAATGTATATTTTCTTATTTGAAAAGTATTTTATATTAGTATAAATATATTATTACATATAAACAGATATAAAAAAATATAAATTTAACCATATATATATATATATATATATATATATATATATATATATATATATATATA